CTAGTAGCAATGGGAACTGGCGAGATGACAGATCCCGGGTTGCAGAGTCTTATTCAACGTCAGGAATTCCCAACACTGTTCAGAGAGTGGAACTGCATTGATGCTACACTAACGGAGAACCAACATACCGCATTCGGTTACCGCTGTGAGCGTGCTTCTGCCATCAGCAACATATGTGTCCTGAGTCCGTCTTCCTACTTGGTACTCAGTGCCCAAACTACTATCATGCAACCGCTACCAGCCTACGAATTGACAATGCGACTGTTGATATTAAACAACAGAACTGAAGCACATGAAGATGTCATCCCCGTAGACTGTTGCTTAGGCCAGGTACGTGCCCACACATCACCACCCTCATCTCTCTCTCTTTCTCCCTTTCTGTGTATGTGTCTCTCTCTGTGTATTGTTGTGTTTGTCACAGTCTGTGTCCCATTGTGTATGTCACAGTCTGTGTCCCATTGTGTATGTCACAGTCTGTGTCCTACTATGATTGTCACAGTCTGTGTCCCACCGTGTATGTCACAGTTTGTATCCCACTGTGAATGCCACAGTCTGTGTCCCACTGTGTATTTCACAGTCTGTGTCCTACTCTGATTGTCACAGTCTGTGTCCCACCGTGTATGTCACAGTCTGTGTCCCACTGTGAATGCCACAATCTGTGTCCCACTGTGTATGTCACAATCTGTGTCCTACTGTGATTATCACAGTCTGTGTCCCACCGTGTATGTCACAGTCTGTGTCCTACTGTGATTGTCACAGTCTTTGTCCCACCGTGTACGCATGTATTTCATTATGTCTGTGTATGTCTGTTGTATGTGCGTGTTACTGTGGCCGTGTGTGTCACCGCGTGTGTCACAGTGTGTATGTCACTGTGACTGTGTCTTGTATCACTGTGTATGCGACACTGTGTTCATGTATCTTGTTTGTGTCACTGTATATGTCACAGTGTTCGTGTATGTTTCCTATTGTATGTGTTTCCCTGCATCTGTGTATTTCCCCGCGTATGCGTATGTGTCACAGTGTTCGTATCACTGTGACTGTGTCTGCGGGACCGTGTGGATGTGTTATTGCATGACTGTGTGACTGCGTCATTGCGTGTCTGTGTCACTGTGTCATTGTACATCTGTGTGAGTGCCACAACGTCACTCTATGTCATAGTCTGTGTGTGACTGTGTAGGTGACTGTGCGCTGTGTGTCACCGTGCCTGTGTGAGTGTCATAGTGTCATCGTATGTCACAGTCTATGTGTGTGACTGTGTAGGTGACTGTGCGCTGTGTGTCACCGTGCCTGTGTCACTTTATGTCACAGTCTATGTGTGACTGTGTAGGTGACTGTGCACCGTGTGTCACCTTGTTTCAGTCACAGCGGGACTGTCACCATGTACGTGTTACTGTGCACCTGTGTGACACGTGCCTATAGCGTAATGGTGCAGACCAGAACAAGACCCGACCTTTCTCACATAGTACAGGATAGCGCGGCGAAAGGCTGAAATACCAATGATCAGACCACTCAATGTCATAATGCAGACCAAGCATACACCATCATCATCGCAGGGTGTGAAGGGCCTGACACCCATACAGGAGGAAGGCGCCAGTCCTCCAAACATACTCAGAGGAGGAGGAGGGAGATTAGACGAAGAACAGGGGAAAGATGGGAATGCAGTGAACACCAAGTCTTCGATATAGGCACAAATAATCCCCCATCCAATGTCTCAGGCCCAATGTCGAGTCTGAATCCGACTGTCATCAAATCTCAAAGTCACAAATCCCTTTCTCTCCCGTAACCTACAGATACTGAAAAGTCAGGCAGCGAGCGGGTAGAGAAGGGATAGTAGACTTAGAAGAGGAAGGAGAAGAACTTTCTCTCTTTCTTCCTTCGGTCCAATCCTGTTCTTTCCGTGCTTCTATATCCCTGCATTATCTTCTTCTCCCTAGTGCTTTTCATTCTCCTTCTCCTTCGATCTTCACTCTTCCTCTTTGTATTGCTCTACTTGCCATTCCTATGTCCTTCTCTGATTGAACTGGAATAATAAGCCAAAACCCAAAAACGATTAATAATAATAATAATAATAATAATAATAATAATAATAATAATAATAATAATAATAATAATAATAATAACAATAATAATAATAATAATGCAAGGAAATAATAAGTGATAGCGAACCTTCAGCAACCAAACAGCATCATACACAGGAGGCCAGATAGTCATTAGCTCGAACAAAAGCAGAATCGCATCACGAGTCCCACCAAATAAGAGCACAGCAAAAGCTCATAGTTGACAATGTTGAAATAGTCTCATCACCATCAACGAAGAACCAATATCGGTATCCTATCTGGCGCTCGACGCCCAGACTACAAATGGCAGATCCTATCTAGCCTATCTACGATGCCGCTGAGGACGTCAACAACTTCCCAAGTACGAGCAAACTTCGGCCAATGTTGTTCGCCTCAAGCACCAGGTATGTCTCTCGTATCACTCACAACCTCGACCCCCAACTCACAGATGCCACATGCACCCAAGAACCACCACACAAATGCACTCCCTTTCTGCCCGCGCTTCCTCCTCTGCGTTATCCAACTCTACTCCCACGCGTTCCTCCATCTTCCTCTCGCGTGTGTGTCTCCTCCCTCTGTACGCCCGGTGCACCTGCGTTCTCCTTCCAACGACGCAGGCTCCTCTCTCTCTCTCTCATACACACACTTTCACATACGTACACGCACATGTACTCACACACACACACATACACACACGCACAAGCCCGAAGGAGAGCGCATGATCACATGTACACACACACTCACGCACGTCACGCACGTAGTAGTAGTATATATTTCCATGTTCTAGCGGTAGATACTTTCGACTTTGCTTATCGTATCCGTGGAAGTTGCATGAAGCTATCGCAGGGGTAGGAGACTTACCCGTTCTTTCTCACACACCCAAGTAGTAGTAGTAGTGTATCTTTCTGTATTGTAGCATTAAATTCATTCGATTTTTGTACATCCTGTTCATGAGGGTGACGGGGAGTGAGCTGCGAGGTTTGTGACTCACACACTCTCACACGCATACACACACACTCACACATCCAAGCAACTAGTGCGGCAGTATGCCAGCAGTGGACTCATTCGATCTTGTTCATCCTATTGCTGCAGTTGATCGGCGACAAACACACACTCACTCGCACACATACGCTCACACACACAATTGCACGTGTATAAGTCCGTGTCCTAGGGGTAGATCCATTCGATTTTGTTGTAACTATAGATGAAAGTACTATAAGGCTAGTCGCTGGGTAGGATCACGCACGTATACACACATACGTGTGGCAATGTATGCTTCATATTCTAGCAATAGATTCATTCGATTTTGCTCGTCCCTTCCAATGGAAGCATCATAAGCCGGCCACGCGAATCGCGCGCGTACTCCCACTCCCACTCCCCCCCCCCCCCCCCCCCCCCCCCCCCCCCCCCCCCCCCCCCCCCCCCCCCCCCTCCCCCCCCCCCACTCTCTCCCTCTCTCTCTCTCTCTCTCTCTCTCTCCCTCACACACACTCTCTCTCTCTCTCTCTCCCCCCCACACACACACACACATGCACGTAGCAGTGCATATTTCAATATTCTAGGGGAAGATTCATTCGGTTTTGCTCATCCTGTCGATGTAATTAACACGATTCAGCCGTACCATTCGTCGCACGCTCGTACGCACGTACTCACACGCACACATAGGTAGTAGTGCACCTTTACTAAGTCTAGCGGTGGGTTCATTCGACTTTTCTTATTCGATCGATGGTAGAACTACGAGGTAAGTAGCGCGATCTGAGACTTACCTGTTTCCCTCTCTCTCCCTCTTCGTCGCCGTAGTCAGCCAGCCGGTGCCCTTCGAAGCTCAAGTATGAGGTCCGAAGATCCACGCCAAGATGTCGTCGTCACCGACCGTAGGGGAGGTAAGCCTTTCCTCACCCTCGTTTTCCTTCCTTTACCCTTCTCCTCCTCCTTCCTTTACCCTTCTCCTTCTCCTTCTTCCTCTTGTGCCTTTCTCTTTCCTGCATTGGCGCTATCTCGACTGTCTGCAGGCGCTATCTTGACTGCATGCTCTATCTTGACTGCATGCGCTATCTTGACTGCATGCGCTATCCCACGCCTGCCTCTCCTTTGCATATCCTGTCTCTGCTCCTTCCTCGCATCCGCGGGTGACCTCAGCGCCAGGCAGATCCGGCTCTACTGGTTCTTTCGCAATTCTCCCTCGCTGAATCTGTCCCACACTCGAAGTCAGATTCGCGAGAGTGATCTAAGAAAGTCTAACCGCGGGGCCTAAATCGAATCTAATTACCAACAAAAGTGAAAAAAAAATAAAAAAAATAAAGAAAGAAAGGAACCAAAAACTACTACCAACTATCCCCTTTTGCCAACTGTCGGCACCCGCCACGGGAAGGAGCCTTAACCTTTTCACCCCTAACTACTCGTAGTCCTCAGGTCACGAGTTCAAGTCCCCGCTACCCCGTGGTTGAAAAAAAAATTGTAGAGCTCCCTGTCAAAAGGAAGCTAGTCTTAGTGGTTGGTAGGTTTCGATCCCCACACTCCCCACTTCTAAGGCCAATACCGAAACCTACCGAGTTAGCTCCAACTTCATTTAGAAGAGGTGCAACTCAGGTCTAAGTGCAGTATCGGGCTCGGTTCCATTCAGTGGCCTGAGCCCCAACCCATTCTGTGCATAAATGCACTTTCGTTGGGTCATGCCGGCCTAAGCGCTTGTCGGCTGAGTGCGCGCAAGGACACTTGCTTGATCAGAGGCCCGACGGGCTGGTACTTACCCATGGTTGCGTCATCGAGGGTCGTCGCGAGAAAATACCCAAGTAGCGGGTAGGTTGATACTATCCCTATTAAAGGTAGATGTGCTGAGTACTTGAGGCCGAACAAAGCTGGCATTTTGCGTGCCATAGATGTACCCTGACATGACAATAACCACCTCAACCCCTCAACCTTCCTGGTCGAAGGGTATTAGTGTCGATCCTAACTATCACAGCGCGCGCTACAATAATGCGCGCGCTCATACAAAATTCCAAGTTCAGATTAATTCCCTCGAGGTGGTCGGCACAACCAACCCTGTCAATTGCAAAATCACGGCCAAATACCCTTTTGGCCCGACAATATCCCAGACCCTATTAAGCGACGTCCCCGTCGCCTGGAGAACCATATGCAAACAAAAGATGTTTCTCAACAAGCAAATTGTCAAATCCGAATCTTGGAATGAAATGTGGTTCAGGATTGACATTGTCACCTCACGTTTCATTATTACTGTCGGGATTTTAACCCGGGTCTCCCACATTACAAAATAAATTCAATGACTTGAAGTGGGGATACTTGATCCGTATTACAGTACATGAAATCGTCAAGTATGATAGTTCTTCCTCCTTCCCCACGTCCTTAGACTTTGGCCCAGGTATTCGTTGGTTGTTTTTCAGGGTCGGTGTCCGCGTGCGAACTCAACCCTTCAAAACGTGGGTCCTAACCGAGACCTTGGGTGTTCAACTCTTGATATGTAGTATCCAAAGTTGTCTGCTGTCCTACCCGAAATCAAATACCGGAGGACAACGGTCTCCATCATGACCCACCACAGTCCTGCTGATCAGGCCGGAGTCCACCGCGTTGTTGCTTATTGGTGGTTATCCTCGTTGGTTGCGCAACGATGGGATATTCATCTTATCTTTCCAAAATATATTCACAAATTCAAGACTAATTTCGACCCCTCCGACTCCCACCTTAATAGATTCTTTCACCGGGGTGACCATCCCCTCTAGTCTCTCTTCTAGGCCATAGTCGAAGGGTCCGCTGCCTGGTTATGTTAGGTCAGCAACCCACGCTGGGAGTTACGTCCCAACGATGCCAATTTTCCACCATTGGCTTGGTATTTTCATACCCTCAGGTTAACCCTTGAGATGGATGAACGATGCTTCTTTCAAAATAAACCAAATAAATGAAATGTTCCAAATAATTGAGCATTTGTCAGGTTGCCACTCAGGGTTGTGCCCTCCAAGTCTCTGATCTTAGCTCGGTGAGGCACGCACCTCGAGGTCATTGATACATATACAAAACCAATATTTGAATTGAAATCAAGCTTGTTGACTTTTTGCTTGTCTGATCCATCCAAAACAAACACCCCACTCAAAGCCATTTGCAAAACAATATTTTACCCATGGAGGGGAGTTTGCCTTTATCATTGTATGACTATTCAATCATGCACATGTAATCAATTCAGCATCAGCTCATTCAATCTTTTGTCGAATTTCGATCAAACACTGATCCGCCCGTTCCTCTACCACCTTCTTCAAACCTCAGAGGGTCTAAATAGTGATAGACGAAGGAAGATACTCATTCACAGAAGAAGATTCGAAATTATGGACCAAGATTCACTCACAAATGTGAAAGTGTTTGTGGTTACCAACTCATTCCCCCTCGTTGATCATATATATATATACATAAATACAAGTATAATACAGCTAGTCACGGCTGTGACTCACCCTACTCACTCTCATCTCTCCTCTTGAATGTTTATGCAATTCCCCCCTTATACTATCACCCGCTTCTAAGCTTCTACCCCTACCAAGTCCTAGAAAGTCTGCCCCCCCTTTTCATACTGCACTCTACTTACTCATTCGTTCTCCCTGCCTCTATCAAAATGTCTTAACTTACAAAATCCTACATTTTTCCTACCCTGAGAAAGTGGTTGTCAGCCCCAGTATCCTATAGAGCTCTACCCTGCCACCCCCGGGTGTCCTGGGGATTATCTGTCCATTACTGGCAACCAACCTTCCCTTTAGTCAAACCTGACCATCCCTTTCCTAATATATTCGGTCAATATTGTACAATCATCTCGGAAGTGTCCCTCTTCTGTACAAAAGAAGCATCCATTTCTGACTTTGTTATATCTTACCTTCTTTGTGAGAGGCCGAGTCAAAATCTCTGTCTGACTCCTAACTCCTTTTGAGAGTTCCATTCCAGGCTGCACTCCCCTCTTGGTGCCTCCCAGCTGAGGTAACGTCAAACACTCACTCCTTTCTTCTTCTGTGGCAAGAGGCCTCTCAATCCATGGTTCTTCTTGTGACTTCTTTCCGGATAGTCCCTCCTCTTCAACCTTAGTCAGCTTGCCTTCCTTTTTCTCCCCTTCTTTTGACAAGTGATCCCCCGTCTTTTCTGCAGTCATCTTAATTTCAAACCTTTCATCTCTTTTCCACTCCACCACTCTGGTGGTCTCCTTCCCTTTCTCCTGGTGACTCAGTCTGAGCTCTTCCATCTCAATCAATATTTCTTCCCATCTCTTCTTCCGTATCCGACTCATGTTTTCTTTTTCTGAAATTTCTTGTTTCAAATCCTCCCCCTGCACACTGATCCCAGAGCACAAACCCTCAACTTTCTTCTCCATCTTTTCTCTTTCTACCACCTCATCTTCCAACTCCTTGCTTTTCTGGGCCAGGGAAACTTCCGATGTACTTACTTGCTTTAGCAACTCTTCTTCCCCCTTCCTTAAGTCATCCACCTCTTTTCTCACTCCTTTCAAATCCTTCGTAAATTTTTCCACCTGGGCATCCCTTTCTTCTTCCTTTGTCCTCAACCTGCTCATCTCTTTCAGGAGCCTAAGGATATAGTCCAAAAACCCTTGGTTGAAGAGCTCAGTACTCTCCTTGAGTTCTGACTGGAGCCTCTTTTCCACTGCATCCAGGTCCTCTCCAATTTCTTTTTCATCATCTCCTTTCTCCATCTTCCCCAATTTCTTCGCAACCTCAGCATATTCTTCGAAGAGCCTGATGCACTTTTCATCCAGCATTTCATGCAATCCCATAAACTTTTGCATGTTGGTAGAGTGTTTGGAGCTTACTACTAACTCAAAGAGCATCATCCTCTCAAACCTTACATCCCAAGAGGAGTTTACAGGCAGATCATCATTTTGTAGCATTTTGATCACATAATTCCTCCATCCTTTTTTTCTCTCCTCCCTCTGAGCCCTTTCTCCTTTGTTTTCCTGTTCCTTCTCTGCCTCTCCTTGCTGCGGATGATCCTTCACATTCCACCCCTCTTTCTTTTGCCTCCTCTATTTCCACCTCCTTACTCCTCTTTTTCACTTTCATTCTTTCTCCTCCATCCCCAACTAGTCTTTTCTCTTCGGTTTTCTTGGCCCTTGGAGCCTTACCTCCTGAACCCTTTTTCTTTCCACTGCTGCCTCCTTCTTTCCCGTCCTCTCTTCTTCCAAGACCAGACTCGCTCCTTCTTTCTTGTCTTTGGGAAAAGTCCTAGGTCTGCCCCTCAGATTCCTCAAAGGTCCATCCTCTTTCTCTTTTTCTTCTTGAGCCTTTCTCTGCAACTCATCCTCCTCCCTTCCAATCCATAATCTTTTCTCTTGTAGCCTCTCCTTTCTTATCTAGTTTTGCCTCAGCTGGGTGTTTGTCACTTGCAACTTTATCAATATGCCCTGCCAAGTGCAAGTCCCAACTACAACCTCTTTCACTTCCTCCTTCTCATTCTTCTCTGTCCTCTCAATCAACCTCTTTCTCTTCTCCTCATCATTTCATCACCCTTTCTCTGCAGATAGCTGCAGACTGTCTACAAAATCATCCAGATTTGTCCCATCAAACATTAGGTCATCCTCAATCTTGTCTCTGGGAAATTCTCCGATGACCTGCCACAACCTTACCACGCAGGTCTTCCATCTCAAGCACCCGACCGCCACTTCTTCAATCTTTCTCTTATACACCCCCTATCCAGTCACTATTGAAAGCTTCAGCTTGTCATCCCACTCTCCCCTGAAGGCGTACTCCTCAAAATCCCTCAAGGATACACGCAAGTTATCTCTTGTTTTGTAGACCTGTAACTCTTCCAAGTTCCTTGAGATTCCTTGATCCCTCCTCTGCCCTCCTTTTCTCAAGGTTGGTCCAGAGGGACGTGCCATCCGTCCTCTCTGGATCATAGCTGCTCCTCCTCAAGGGTCAAGCCTGCACATAGAGAGGAAGCAATGACAGGTACCAGGATCAGTCACCATCATCAAGGCAACACTTTTCATCATCAATACAAGCTTGACAAGATATCCCTTATCTGAACTCATTCGCATATATGTATATGTATATATATATACACACGCATATATAATCATATATCCATATATATATATACATACTTATACACATATATATACATACAGGTATGTGTATATACATATGCATACAGGTACATATATATATATATATATACATACATATGCACATCCCTGCTCACTTAAGTTCGTTGTATCAATTGAGGCTCACCTCTTCTCTGATTTTGAATTTCTTCAGCCTGGACCCCGAAACCCAATCTTTCCTTGGAGTCCCATCCATCTCTTCCAATTCATAAGCCCCATGAAGCCCCTGTTTTCTGACTCTAAAAGGCCCAAGCCAGCGCTTGTCAAGTTTTCTCGACCACTGCATTTCCAAAGAAGAGTCATGGAGCAATATCGCGTCCCCAACTTGCAACGGCTCGACCCTCACTCTAGGGAGTTTGTCCCATCTTTCTTTATTCCTTCCAGGCTGTCTGCTACCTTCATGACAGCTTCCTGGATTCTTTCTTCTGTGGCACTGATCTCCCTTGCCCTGAGGTCCAGTAACTCTTCAAGCGTCAAACCATTCTCCAAGCCCTGTCTGCGCCATATTTTCAGGAAACTCTCTATCGAAAATGTGGTGTGCCGACCATACCAGAGAGTTGTAGGTGCATACCCCGTCGTCCTTCTGACAATGATATTCTCCACAAAAAATACCGTTCTCAGGAATTTAGGCCAGAGATTCGGCGTCCCATTAGTCCACTTGGCTAGCAACTTTGTAATGGTACTATTGCCCCTTTCAACCGGTGCATTTGCTTCCCATTAGTCCACTTGGTTAGCAAGTTTGTAATGGTACTATTGCCCCTTTCAACCGGTACTGTTGCTTCCCATTAGTCCACTTGGCTAGCAAGTTTGTAATGGTGAGCCCGAGTCGTGTAGTTACCCATTACTCCAAGTTCTTTTAGCAGTCCTTTCACTTTCCCACACGTAAACTCAGACCCCATGTCCATTGTGAACTCTAACGCGAACGGATACCTGAGATAATATTTCTTAATGCATTCTGCCTGTATTGCCCCAGTCTTGTTCCTAATGGATCTGCCATCAACAAACCCGGTAAGGTTGTCTCTTGCGTCAAATATGTAGTTATATCCGCCGAGTCCCAGTGGCATGGCCAATAGGTACAAGTGGACAATCGCCCCTACTTCTTTGATGTACCTAGGATGCAGAGGCTCTTTGTACTTAATAGGCGATCGTACTTGACAGGGTACACATGACTCACAGTATTTACGAGTCATTTCAAACATCCCTTCCCAATAATAGAGTTCCATCGCCTTCTTGTAAGTCACCGCGAAACTTCGATGTCCCCCAACTATCCCGTCATGCAATGCGGCCACGACATCAATTTGACGATTCTTCCCACATACCACTCACCGTGGCGGCCCCCTTTTGTCCCTGATGAATAAATGACCACCTCTTACTACGTAATGATCTCTCATCTGGAGAGTTTTCTCACTAACTTCTCTCTCTCTTTTATCTCCTGAAAGAAGTAACCCCATCTCCAAGTAGAATCCATCATACTCTTCTCTTCGGAATTCTTCCCAAATCTCCCATTGCCCAAATTCCTCCTCTTTCTCTTCATCAAACTTGTAATCATCACCGATTATTATTTCATCTGCCTTTACCACTCTCTCCTCATCATTAGACTGGACTTGTAGGAAGAAATTCGTCAAGAAGTACATTTTCCCCATCATGGCTACTTGTTCGTCTGCTTGTTGAGTTACAACTTCGATCGTCCGTGGTTCATTCACCATCCTATAGTTCTCAGCCAAGGCCAATTCCATCATCCACTCCGCATCCTTTCTCCCCATGAGTCCTCCTCTACTACTGGCGTAAGTATTAAGGTAGGCTCCCTCATAAACTCAGGAGGCGGATGCCACATTGGATTCCCTCTCCTCATTGCGTTACTTTCAACAAACACAGCCCAACAGTTGACATGAGTGCGCATATCATCTCCTTCCTCCAAAAATCCATCTACCGGAGGTGCTTCCTCTTCAGATTCGTCTTGGTTTCCCCACTCTATTCTACTCATACCATCTGCCCTATTCTTATTCCCAGGGATACATTTTAGCTGAAAATCGAACATCCAGATATAGGTAAGCCATCTCGCTATGGTCGGGTCTGAGGGCGAAAAGTTCTTGAGGGAATACATAAGCGTCGTCGGATAAATTCTGAGGATAAACCTCCTCCCAAAGAGGTAGTGCCTGAAGATTCTTAGGCAATGCAAAACTGTCAAGGCTTCCTTTTTGAACTGTGACTAATTCCGTTCCTTCGAATTGAGTGTCCGACTTTCGAACCTTACTGGTCTTTCCTTTCCGCTGTTGTCTGCCTGGATCAAAACACTTCCCAAGGCGGCTGACCCAGCATCGGTTTCAATATGAAAGGCCGCTCCATAGTTGCATCAAAATCAGACACTCCCAATACTAAACCCCCTTCTCTGAATTCCTTCTTCAATTCTTCTACCACTTCTTCTTGACGGTCACCCCATTCCCAGTCCTGATCCTTCCGTACTAGCTTCCTCAGATGCTCTGTCTTAGTGGAAAATCTTTCTATGGACCTCCTCCAGAATCCACAGGTTCCAAGGAAGCTACGGACTTCTCCAACATTCATGAAGGGAGTAGGGCATTCCAGGATTTTGTTAGTCTTTTTACCATTATGTCGTCGACCGTATTCGTCGCATACGTACCTTAGAATGATTACTTCCTTCACACAATGCCTTGATTTCACGCCACTGGCAGTGAGGTTGTATTCTTCTAAGAGAAATAAAACTTTTCTTAACCCTTAGACGTGCTCCCATACGAATCTTTTTATCCCAGGAGCTACTTCTGATTCATCCTTCTCAATAGGTCCCTTGACGACAAGATCGTCAATGTATGACTCGGTAATTTGAGGACTGATCGGCTGCATTACTCTGATCATATTGCGTTGCACCATGGCCACAACGTTGGTCCACCCTTGGGGTGCAACATTCATATCGACCAACCTCTAGGCGTGTGCATCGCCGTTATAGGACGATCCGCAGGATAGACCGGAAATTGATCATACCCAGAGTAGAGGTCAATAAGAGATACAACCGATCTCCCTGCGCAGGACTCTGACAATTGATCAGCGTTAGATAATCCCCCAGCGTCTCTCACGGTCACCACATTCAACCGTTGGAAGTCTTGCACCCACATGAGCACCCCATTTGGTTTTACAAAGCAAAACCAAGGAGAAGCGTATGTCCGCTAGAATAACCCGTGATACTCGTACGAATCTTCCCATCTAGATACTCCACCACCTTTCTATGATCTTCGGAATTGGGGTACTTAGCTCCCCGAATATTCCATGGTTCATGAGGCACAGTATGAATGCGGGTCATTTCGATTTTGTCAACGTCTAACCGTCCGCGTTGGTCATCATTGAAAGCATATGCTCCATGCTTCTCACGTATCAGGTCTTTTACCAGAGCCTCTTCTTGCTTTGTCAGAAAACCGGGTTCGCCTATTATCAAATCCTTTTCAGTTTCCTTGTTGATGCGACAAGGCCCGTTTTTAGTACACTCTCTCATCTGTCGTATCAACTCTCTCTCCTGCTCGTAATACACCCCTTCTTCCTGACTTACCAGTACTGGTACCGAATGATTTTTCTTGTCTATCGTCTTGTACCGCCTTTTGGAGCCCTGCTTGAGCCCACCCCTAAAAAATGATGGCCGATTGCTTGTGCATTTGGCATATGTGGCCCTATCATCTGAGGAGGAGGAGGTCGGTAAACAAGATCGATTCTCCCTCCTTCTGGATCGTCCTGAATTCTTTCCGCAAACGCTCTGACGGCATCAGGGTCCGTCATCCTGTAGGCTGATACCGATTCGACTGCGTCACTAATATTTGACAGGCTCAATATGAGTCCACTGACTTCCTCATTGTCTGTTTCTTCTTCTTCTTCCCACTCCAGTTCTTTTCGCCTATTCTCTGACTCTTCAAACGTGTAAGATCCCGCGTCGAGTCGGTTCTTTGAGCTGTGGGCCCCGGTATTTCTACAAGTGATTACCTCAAAATTCCCACAGGCGGGATCACACAAGATAACAAACATGGTGCCATCATGTTTGTTCATAATAAGCGACTCGGACCTGCATAAGAAGGATCTGCCTAGCAAAATCGGGAGGTCCAAACTGGGCATAACGTAGAAGCACGTACGCACCTTGACCCTTCCTATTTCTATTACAACATTAGACACAACCCCTGTGTACCTGGTTTTACCACTAGCTCCATTGAGGAACCCACAATCGTTCTCATCAACTTCCAACCCCAATCTTTCCGCCGTTTCTCCATTTATGATGTTCATCTCTGCCCCCGTATCAACCATTCCTGGACACATCTTTCCTTTTATCATAACATCTATGGACCCCGTCCCTACGAACTTCCAGTCCATCTTACCTCCCGCAACGCTCCAGTTGGCCTCTCTAGGAATCAGGTCTTCTATTCGGACTGTGGTCACTCTCTTACGCGATAGCCTAGCTTTTACCATTTCCCTTAGCCTTGGAGTTGAGGCAAGAATCTCCCTTAGATTCAACAATTCATAGCGACCTTCCAATAATTTATTCACCAATCCTTCCAGGTCGACTCCTTCTTCGATCGAGGTTTGGTACTTTCTCTTCTTGCTCGCTGTTTCATCCTTCTCTGACTTCCCTTCCTTGACTCCTTCTTTCCTCCTCTTGGCCCTAATCTCCGCCTGGTTGTCTTCTTCTTCCCTGAACTTATCGTTTTCGTCCTCATCCACTTCTACCATGATTGGTGGTTCTTCCTCAGTTGGTTGGGAGGTTTTAGCTTGTTCCTTCGGAGGATTGCCTCCTCCAGGTCTTCTCGTAGCGTACGGAATCGAACCTCTTACGTTTCTCTGACCCATGCTATTCTTTGCTGTCATGTTGGCCCTCAACATTCTTGGGTTGGGTTCATTTGGTCCTTCTCCTGGTCCTTCACGCCCCATGGTAAATACTTTCGGATATCCAATCCCTTCTCTTCCAACTTCTTCACATATTCCGCGACGCCTTAGATGCAATTTTTGCATTTTATCTACCAGGTCCTCCATCCTATCAAACGTTTTTCTTACATTGATGCTAACATCCTCCTCCTCCGCGTCTTCTTCAACGAGGGGAATGTTCTCCTTGTTTTCTTCCACCCCCATCCTGCTCATTTTCTCTTCTAATTTCGTTACATCTTCCACTTGCACAACAGGGTCCTCCTTCTCTTGCCAAATTCGAAACATCGCCGGAGTGTTGGGACCAAGTTCGGCCACCCGGAGGGCCTCTTCTCTCGTGCCTCCCGGAACGTCCGGATCGATCATTTTCCCTCTTTTGTCGAATACATCACCATCTATGTTCGAGGTTATGAGTCCGTCACGTTCGTCTAGCTTCCTGACGTGACCTCGTTTTACCGTGTGCCCTTGGATCCTACAGTGGATACAAATGCACTCACTGTAATCTATCCATCCTCTGCCGTACCCTTGTCCGTTCCATTGTCCGCTACCTCTACCATACCCTCTACTATAGCTTTGTTCGTATCCTCGGCCATACCCTTGCTGGTATTCTTGTCCCACTTGATTGACACCCACTTGGGACTGTCCCCAGTTTCCACCTTGACTCTTATTTCCTCTATTCCCTGCTCCTCGTTCTCCTGGTCCTTGATTCCTTTCAGTGTTCCTTCCTCTTCCACGTCCTTGTCCTTATCCTTAGGACCAATTCTGATTTTGACCGCTGTCGTACCAAATACCCTTACAAGGGTATTTGGCGTGTTTCCTGTAAGTTGTCGGTGTAGCTTCGCCCGTCCGACTGCATGCGCACAAGAGGAAGCTTGGGTCCTCGCCTGGATGAGTGGCGCGCACGGGGTATTGACGATGAGGCGCGACAGTGCGCAACCACAGTGTGCGTGGTGTCGCGGGCCAGTGGGACGCGCAACGTCTATTCTTGTGTTTTATTATTTATTTAATATTTATTTTTCTGAGGTCTTTTAGCTCGGTGATCAGCTTCAAGGCCGACGTCGAGACCAACGAGCCTGACTTAGTTACTAAGTTGTCGAATACGGGTGGTCGTCACAGTGGTCGGGGGCCATGAGCACACGCCTCTCTTGACGAGGTCGTTCGGATACCACGGGTCTGGGGTGCCAGCGGAATCTTCTTTTTGAATGGCCCCGGGATGGAGGAGACGTGGGTGTCGTGGGCCTAAGCGGGGGTGCCCAGCCTCGTGACCCGGGACCTGTTATGAGAGGTTTGAGTGTGAGCAGGCATATTGAGGCCAACATGTGGTGATTGACGCCTCAGCAGGGGCGGGGCCAAGGCACTATAGGGCGAGGGCTGCAGCAGTACAACCCCCTCCCCTCGGTCTTCAAGGTCTTCACTTGAATCTTTGCTATGACCACCAAGATATGCACCGTGACCTGCTCCGCTAGGCTCGTGATTGCAGGCTGATCAGCGACACCTGCGCCCCCGTCTACTCATCGAGGGGTTGGAGTTGCCCCGGCAATAGGTTGTGCACCTGGCGCCAGCCAATGCCGGGGCTGATTGACCCAGCAGAGTGAAGCGGTTACTTGCAGAATTCTACTTCCATGACCACCATGCCGCTGTCTGTGTCGGTCAGGCGGTGCCTGCGTTAGCACGTAGTGTGGCGCAAAGGTGGGGTGGAGGCACTGAGAAGAGGGAATGAATTTGGTTGTCGCCTGGTACAGGGTGCATGCGGGGTAGAAAGAGCACAGCAGCGGCTACGACGGTCGGGCATGTGTCAGGGGCTGCGAAGCTGTTCGTTCGAGGCGAGCCGAGTCTGCAGGGGGGTTGGCACATACTCCTTAGCAGATCCTCGCCTCCCGTGGCCGTCGTGTTGTGGATTGCTACCGGTCGGAGGAGTGGCGTAGGGCCTAGTGCGCAGTTGGCATCGATAGAGAAGGCGGGAGCGAGCGGGAGGCAGAGCGCAGTGATGAGAGGATGAATGAGAGGGGGGGACGAATCTGAACGGGAAGGTGCGCCGGATACATGCACGGCAAAGAGGGGCACAAAGGACACGGAAGCGGGACAACGAGAGCGACCGACGGGGTGCTGAGGAGTAACCAGACCTAGGCAGACTTCTGCGCCGGGTGCAAGCGCAAAAGGGAACAACGCAGCTATGGGAGAAACGAGCCCGGCCCAGCCAAGAGGACGTAGCGCCCTCGATCCTGAACGGGATCGAGGGGCGAAAGATGCAATCCCGGGGTTTTGACCCCGGGCGGAGCGAATGACAACGTTAGTTTCAGCATTTAGTTAGAGAGTAGGGAGTTAGTAGGAGAGTGTGGTGCGATGAGCTATGGCGGAAGATGAGGGAAAATAGTGTTGTTCACTCGTTAGTAGGTGGATTTCAGTGGGGGAGGAACCATCTCAGGGGTTTTAGATTGATGCCACCTCGAATCCAGGGTCAGATTGAGCGGGAAGTCAGTGGAAAGAAAGAACGAACAAAAAGGACATGCACCGGGGCTATGTCGAAAGGAGAAAGGAGAAGTAGGAAAGGGGTATAGCCCGCTCGTTCCTGAACGAAATCGGGCGGGGAAAGATCCAAATCAAGGGTTTTCGGGGTGGGCGACCCCGATTCTAAAGATAGAATTGACGGAAGGTGAGTAGAAGGGGAGTTAGATGGAAAATGGACTGCGCGGTGGTGTCGGGGCATAAAGATATGGTGGGAGAAAAAAAGGATAACTCACTCGATTCTTTGAAGAATCGAGCGAGTGAAGAGGCCGGTCAAGGGTTTTGAGGTGCTCTGAAGAAGATGGTTGGGTCAGATTCTTGTCTACAGCAACGATATGGCCTCTACGAGAGATAGAAGCTGCGTAGTGAAAATGAAGATGTATCTTCTTAAGTTTTCGGGGTAGGTTCATACCTGTCGTTTCTTACTTTCTTAGTTTTTTTTTTCTTTTTTTTCTTTCCCCTTGTATGAGTGCTCGTGCGGAAGCATCGTACGTCTTGTGTCGGGTTTCGATGTAGTTGTTTGGCGCGATTGAGCTGCGTAAGCGTTGCTGGCTTTGGTGCGTACCGTCATGGTCATGGCCACGACTCCCATTCAGACGCCGTTTGTCTCCACACCGGCCATAGTGATTATGTTTGTGGTCTGTACCTAGGCGCAACTCATCAATACTTGCCTGCAAATTGGTATCTCGGCCCGTTCATAATCTGTACCACCCAACCTCTGAACGTACCTGGCCAAATAAAACGGCCAGGCACATCCATGCAACGTGCATAGGTTGAGTTTGAGAAGGAGGCGGTGAGCAGGCGGGCGGGAGTCCAACGTTATACATAGAGAGGGAGGAGTCAATCTCGCCTTGGGTATTTGGGGAATAGGGGGGCGCGGGGTTACTTACTGGGTCAGCGCATCTGCGATTACAAGGGAGGACAACTAGTCCGTGCTGGGAAGTGGGAGAGAGGTCAGCCTACCGTAGCCAAAGTAGGCACGTACCTGGTCTTGGTGGTGGTCCACGAAGTTCACATCTTCAGGCATTCCGTATTGCTGCTGTTGGTGTCGAGTACAATGCCAATACATAGGCTGCTACTAGTTGTGTGGTAGTAGCCTGAGCACTAAGAGCCGAGTAGGAAGGAACTGGCTCACTTGTGGGCAATATACTTCGAGGTACCTCTGCATAGAGGGTGAGCTGCAGAGTAGGGACTTACCTACAGATTAGTATCGCGCCGTCCTATCAGCCGGAGCAGCGAGGAGGAGGGGACCTGAAATCTTGAAAACTTACTTGTTGGCTGGCATATGGACGTATTTCGGCTGTTGCCACTGATATCCGTGACTATTTCAAGAGGTTGTGAAAGACACGAACGTCGAATGCGGAGTCGTTGTTATGAGGTGCTGCTGCCGCTAAGTACCATCGTATCTTAGTAGTCGCGCACGTTACCTAGTACGACCCTTGAGGCCGAGTAACGGCGGTTGGACTGAGAAAAGCGACACTGTAACTTAGAAAAGGTGGTCAGACTTCCGATAGCGGGTTATCGCTGCGATTGGAAGGTTCGACGGGAGGGGCTATTTCAGCAGTTTTAACTTCGATTTGACCGGCGGCTGCACGTTTGGCCGCCATTGCGGAACCCTCAGACGCATGAAGATTACAAGACCCTCTCCTGGGAGTTGAGTTGTCCCTCTCTTGTATCTCGAGAGTCTGAAACCCTTTTTGTTCTGCCCTTCTTACTCTCAGTCTAATCTTGTTCAGAGAGGAAGGCGGCAGGTGGGATTGCAACCCGTAGGACCGCAGCAAGACTCTGTGGGGAGTCAGCCCACCGATTCCGAGAGCTCTGCCGGAACTCAGGAGGAGTTCTGGAGGCAGGGAACTGAGAGGTAATGGTTTTGTTTTAACCCCTACTTGTAATCATTATTATGTTTGACTGAGTATGTTGCCTGTCTCCCTATTTTGACTTTCAGTCTGACTTCAGGACATAAACCAGATTTAATAAAGGAATGATTGTGCAAATTCAGTTTCAGTTTTTGTTGTTTGACTGAAAGCACATTGTGGGATTGCATCTGGGGGAAGGTTGGAAGGAAGGCTGTTTTGCATGAGGTTTGATTGGGTAATTTGAAGTTGGGAAGTTCCCATAAGTTTGGGGAGACCAAGTGTTGTATTTATTTTTGAATTGCCTGGAGAACCAGACATGTTCCATAAGTTTGGGTGGTCTGGTTGCTCTGACTTTCGAGGGTTAACTGTGATTGACTTTTTAGGAACTAGGCATTGTCCCATAAGTTTGGGTGGCTTGGTTGCCTTGTTTATTTTGGATTTCTTCTGTTTCTTTTGGTTCTGAACGAGGAGGTCTGAGCATGTTCCATAAGTTTAGGTGGCTCAACCTCTTCCTGCTTTGGCCTTGAGAGAAATGAACCAGGCTGAGGACCAAAACATGTTCCATAAGTTTGGGTGGTCTTGGTCCAATGCCTCGCACATGCTGGAACCCAAAGGTTATAATTTGGCTATACTTTATTATTATTTTATCTGTGAACATGCTTGTCAGACAGGGTCCCATAAGTTTGGGTGGTCTGGCTATAGCCTATCACCAACTTAAGAGAGTATTCATGAAGAATAAACTTGTGGTACGAAGGGGCAGAATGAATCTTGAGTTGAAGATGATCGGTTCAATTATATGCTACTTCAAAAGACTAAGTGCAAACAATTATATAAAGTTGGGATACTTAAACAACTCAGGGCGACTAGGGTGGCCTAGTCATATGCCCAAAGAAGAGAAAAGTTGTTGTGCCCTGTGTTTGTGTGTACTTCATGGGTGAGCTAGACATGTTCCATAAGTTTGGGTGGTCTAGCTTTATGCCTTATGTAAGCTGGGTATAAATGGATAAATCACTGAAAGACTACGAACTATTGTTTGTCCAGGTTGACTTGGGATGGTGAGAGTACTTACCTTTTTGGTTTGGCCTGCATGTGACTAAGTGACGGTACTACTTAGTCCGAGTTTCAGTTTGATAGGTAGTTGCTTTAGTTGCTCGTCACGTGTTAGAGTCATAGGAGTTAGTTTC